CAGTCCTCCTCCTCCTCAGTCCTCCCTAAGTCCTCCTCTTCCTCAGTCCTCCCTAGTCCTCCTTCTCCTCCTCCTCATCCTCAGTCCTCCTCCTCATCCTCAGTCCTCCTCCTCAGTCCTCCTCGTCCTTAGTCCTCCCCCAGTCCTCCTTCTCCTCGTCCTCAGTCCTCCTCCTCAGTCCTCGTCCTTCTCCTTTTTAACAGTCCTCCTCCTCAGTCTTCCTCCTCGTCCTCGCTCTCGTCCTCCTCCTTCTCCTCCTTCTCGTCTTCCTCCACACCAATCCTGCTCCTCTTCCTCAGTCCTCCCTCTCCTCTTCAGTCCTCCTCCTCCTCATTCCTCCTCGGTCCTCCTCTTTCTCCTCAGTCTTCCTCCTTTTCCTCCTCCTCCTCATTTCTCTTCCTCATCCTCCTCCTCCTTCTTCTCTTCCTTCTCCTCCTAATCAGTCCTCCTCCTAATCAGTCCTCCTCCTCAGTCGTCCTCCTCCTCGTCCTTAGTCCTCGTCCTCATCGTCCTTAGTCCTCGTCCTCATCCTCCTAGTCCTCGTCCTCATCCTCCTAGTGCTCGTCCTGGTCCTCCTCAGTCTTCTTCCTCTGTCCTCCTCAGTCCTCCTTCTCCTCAGTCCTCCTCCTCCTCCTCATCAGTTTACACAATTTATTGTTACTAAAATGTTTTTAAACGCATTTGAGTCTGTAACATATTGACATGTTACTGTTACTGACTCAAAATGTGCCCGAGAATTTTTTTGTTTAACAGAGTTTTACTCTCCAGTACTATGGAAAAGTTGTTACATGATAAATAAAGATTTTGATAAATAAAGTGATTTTCATCCCTTTTAATGTTATTGAAAATTGTGTAGACTATTCTTTGTATCTAACTGAGGATTGGAAGTTTGAGAAAGGACCATAGTCATTAACCGTGCTACCCATTTCTGCAGATAGCCTGTTACAAATTGTGGAGACAATTTAAATCAAAAGTTACTAAAGCGTTCGCTATTTGTTACGATTGTTATTACCAACCGTACCTCTTTCAATTGTGGACCGGGGTGGATGTTTCTGTCAAACAAGAGTTGATACGACATTGTGTTGTTTTTCGGACGAAACGATTCTTGTTTGGAACAAGATACCATTTTGGGGTTCTGGGACCACCACCAATCGATTTCTTGTCATATTTAAGTACAGAAATAGCTACCTATATCGCCTAGAAACCTCAGAGGGAAGATTTAAATTTTCCCGATTTTTCCGATATGAGGGTTGATGAGGCCAAAATCGGGATCGGAATGATCGGAAATGATCGGGTTGGACCCCCCCCCCCCCATTCTGCGAGAAACAGAACTATTGTTCATTTTTTGAGATCAGGGTAAAAACTAACAAAGATCAATTTTTGTAACATCTGATCAATTTCATTGAAGATCTGGTTCCTGTTATTTAACATGCTGTTAACAAGATTTTTTTACACAACTTATTTAAAAAACCCAAAAATGCCGGTCCTTCGGCGCTTTTTGCCAGTGCCAATCCCGATACCGGCCAAAAAAGCTGTCCCGGTCGAGCATTGATGGTGCCTTGCGAATAAAATAGAACAATCTGATAATTAAGTATAATAACATACGGCTTTGGCCCAGCGTATTAGCACTTGTAGTGGTATTCTTATTAAATGTAGCACTTGTAGTAGTATCCTTATCAAATAAGGACTAAATTACGAAAATGACAAACAGCAACACGCCCACAACATCAAGATAAGACTCGACAGAGCACAACAATTATCATGGCATCAAAACTTCAATAAAAGTAGAACATCTGCGGTAGGTGCGAGCTAACACTTCTTAGGACAGTGTCCATTCAACCCAATCACGTGTTACAGATCAACTACTTCTCGTGATATCAGTAGGTTAACTATAATTTGTTCGATACATGATATCAGTCCTATAAAGAGCTGAACTGGTAATCACTTATCCTGACACCTGGACAAATCAGGAACCGTTTAACTACGTTTTAATCACACTCTTTTTGCGGGATTATTCCCCCTCCGGATATACTGCCTCTAGTACCTTGACTTGTGTCACTCTCACTGTACTCACTGATTGGTCACTGGTAAACATTTCAGTCAAAACCGCGAAATTTTCGTCAAGGGGACGGCAGAAAAGCTCCTCTTCAAAAATCTTCCAAAATCTCTTTTTATATTCTGATGATTTTCCGTTTATCAAAGCATTCTTTGGGAATAGAACTTTGAGTACCTCAATTGTGTCTTCTGTCATCTTCAGTGACCTTGTAAGATGGTCATTCAAGAAATAATTTGTCAAAACAGTGAAATTTGGGTCGCGGAAAGCTGAAATCTGAAAATGTCCTATGATAGGATATTCAGCACTGACCTGACCAATTAGTAAGGGGAAAAGTGGTCGATTTAAGGGTTCCGTTGGATTTGAATGTTCACAAGGATATCTCAACGGAATATGGTAGTTAAGACCCCTACGAACATAATTAGACTTGTTGCCAATTTTGTATCTCAACGGAAACACCACTTTTACCACTTTTTACCACCTTTGTACCACCTGTCTGGTTTGCCAAATATCTTTAGTTGTGAACGTCGTAAAAGGTTGCAAATTAACCTAGAATGTTTATCTTATCAAGGAGTAAAACTTTTGTGTGAAAAATTTTTACATTGGACAATCAGCTAATTGGATAATTACCAATTAGTTAATCACCAAAAAAAGTGAAAATTTTTTATTGGCTCAAAATGATTGAAATCGTTTGAAACACGGAGAAATGTAGTTTTTAGAAAAACTTCAAAAATTTTTCACTTAAAAAATTTTTTTCGAGACTTGGAAAAAAGTTTGAAAATTTGAAAATATTTTTTTCCGCCAAAAGTGATCGAATTGCATGAAACGTGGATAAAAATGCTTTGCAGAAAAACTTCGAAGATTTTTAGATTTGGGAATACTAAAATCATCAATATTTGAAGTTGGAGTTCAGTAAATCTCGACATATTTTAGTAATTAGGAATAGCTTAGCGGAAAGGGCTGAACCTGAAAAAGGTTAACCACACAATATTAGAGTTTCATAACTAATTACAATACATCTTTATCAAATTCCACATAAAGAAACAGCACAAAAGGACCATTTAAGATCGAACCGATTTTACCTGCTGTACTATCATTTTATTGATTTCAATGATCAAAACCTCTGTACCGTCAATCTTGCCAATCTATACCGGGTATCTGAATGTACCGGACCTCTTATTTACCTCTATAATTAGACCCAGTTGTGCAAGAAATGCGATTTCTCACAGAGGGGTTTCTTTTAACTGTGCACTTTTTGTCACTCTCGCAACTCGCAAGAGGCCCGGTATTATAGGGGGGTATAGGAAGCGAGTGTAAATATACCTTCCATCATCCACTGTGGCTTTTTTGTATTGTGAATGCGCATGCCGCTTCGTTGTAGCTACGTTCTGCTACATCCATGCTAGCACCACCCAGCTACCACCAGTTTACTCTAAATCTAGCTATTTCTAGCAACTTTTCAATGCTATCTCCAGCTCTATCCCGACCCTGGCAATTACATATGGGGGTTATTCGAGGTATCTGGCATAGCAAACGAAGCGGCATGCGCATTCACAATACAAAAAAGCCACAGTGGATGATGGAAGGTATATTTACACTCGCTTCCTATACCCCCCTATAATACCGGGCCTCTTGCGAGTTGCGAGAGTGACAAAAAGTGCACAGTTAAAAGAAACCCCTCTGTGAGAAATCGCATTTCTTGCACAACTGGGTCTAATTATAGAGGTAAATAAGAGGTCCGGTACATTCAGATACCCGGTATAGATTGGCAAGATTGACGGTACAGAGGTTTTGATCATTGAAATCAATAAAATGATAGTACAGCAGGTAAAATCGGTTCGATCTTAAATGGTCCTTTTGTGCTGTTTCTTTATGTGGAATTTGATAAAGCTGTATTGTAATTAGTTATGAAACTCTAATATTGTGTGGTTAACCTTTTTCAGGTTCAGCCCTTTCCGCTAAGCTATTCCTAATTACTAAAATATGTCGAGATTTACTGAACTCCAACTTCAAATATTGATGATTTTAGTATTCCCAAATCTAAAAATCTTCGAAGTTTTTCTGCAAAGCATTTTTATCCACGTTTCATGCAATTCGATCACTTTTGGCGGAAAAAAATATTTTCAAATTTTCAAACTTTTTTCCAAGTCTCGAAAAAAAGTGAAAAATTTTTGAAGTTTTTCTAAAAACTACATTTCTCCGTGTTTCAAACGATTTCAATCATTTTGAGCCAATAAAAAATTTTCACTTTTTTTGGTGATTAACTAATTGGTAATTATCCAATTAGCTGATTGTCCAATGTAAAAATTTTTCACACAAAAGTTTTACTCCTTGATAAGATAAACATTCTAGGTTAATTTGCAACCTTTTACGACGTTCACAACTAAAGATATTTGGCAAACCAGACAGGTGGTACAAAGGTGGTAAAAAGTGGTAAAAGTGGTGTTTCCGTTGAGATACAAAATTGGCAACAAGTCTAATTATGTTCGTAGGGGTCCTAACTACCATATTCCGTTGAGAAATCCTTGTGAACACTCAAATCCAACGGAATGCCACTTTTCCCCTTACTAAATTGCTTTATATTAGATTGAACGCTGCAATATTTAATCAGAACAATGGTTGTAGGATTAATGTTAACTTCTTCAGGGGACAGTAAGCTATACAGTGCATCAGCACAATTACCAGGTTACCAGGTTACCAGGTTACCAGGTTACCAGGTTACCAGGTTACCAGGTTACCAGGTTACCAGGAAACCAGGTTACCATGTTACCAGGTTACCAGGTTACCAGGTTACCATGTTACCATGTTACCAGGTTACCAGGTTACCAGGTTACCATGTTACCATGTTACCATGTTACCATGTTACCAGGTTACCAGGTTACCAGGTTACCATGTTACCAGGTAACCAGGTTACCAGGTTACCAGGTTACAACTTACACCCTTTCAGGGGACAGTAAGCTCTACAGCGCATCAGCACAACTAAAGACAATGGGAGAGTTATGGTCTAAATGTGTGGAGATTATGATTGTGGCTTTGGAGAACTCTATTCAGGTAACAACTCTAAGTATTTCATTAATGAATATTATAATATCTCAATCTTTAGTTGAATGTTTTTTATTTTGAAGCGTTGTTTATTTTATAATACTTGTTCTGACCGATTCAATAATTATGTTTTTAATACTTTAATACAGTTTTAAAATTATATTTTAAAATAATTATATTTTTAATACTTTAATACAGTTTTAAAATTATATTTTTCAATAATTATATTTTTAATACTTTAATACAGTTTTAAAATCCATTGTGCTCCAGTTTTTTAGGTTTGGAGTTAGAAATCGATGTATAGTATGATTAGCGCTTTACAAATAATTATTTATAATTATTAGCTTTAAACGCACAACGAGTCATTAATTATTAATGACTTAATTGTTTCCACTTGAACATCACTACTGTTCTACAAGACAGTATCACGTGACTGTAAAACACTATTTCAGGAAGATGATCTGGTAAACAAATCACAGATAATGAAAGGGCTTTACATCCTACTACTTGACAAGAGGCACCACTACCCTGGTTAGTATATATTTACTAATTACCAGGTTACCAGGTTACCAGGTTAGCAGGTTAGCAGGTTACCAGGTTACAACTTACACCCTTTACCAATTACCAGGTTACCAGGTTACCAGGTTACAACTTACACCCTTTACCAATTACCAGGTTACCAGGTTACAACTTACACCCTTTACCAATTACCAGGTTACCAGGTTACCAGGTTACCAGGTTACCAGGTTACCAGGTTACCAGGTTACAACTTACACCCTTTACCAATTACCAGGTTACCAGGTTACACCCTTTACCAGGTTACCAGGTTACAACTTACACCCTTTACCAATTACCAGGTTACCAGGTTACACCCTTTACCAATTACCAGGTTACCAGGTTACTCTCCCAGGTTACTCAGAAGAAGAGTACTCGAACCAGACCTCACCCGTCACCAAGTACAGCAGGGAAGCTGATGACGTGGAATGCACTCTAGAGAACAAAGCCAACAGTAACCATAGTATAGTGGAGGATCTCAATGATAACCTTCAGAGGGTCTGGATGAAGATGATTGAGTTGATTTGTGAGATATTGGATAAAACTAGCGAACAGGACATCAAGTTTTGGTAATTTCTTAGCTATCTCATAACATTGTTTTTTTGTTGAAAGGGAATGACCTGATTGCTTTTTATTCGTAAACAATGCTAAATAGTCATTTGTATCTTCCTAATTTTCATATCTTATCTAAGGTAATTTATTTAGGTAAGCTTTAAAATTGAACTGAGTCCGTTTTAGGTATGTTCCATTTGGAATTCTCTGTGGACTGGCAAATACCTTCCCGTACAATATGAGGATACAGAGTGGCTATCAACTTATCATCAGCAACCTATGTTAGTACTTAATCAATTCGGTCACAGTTATATTATTTAACTTTCTATTTCTATTTGTTCAGTGTAACCTATAAAAATGAACATCCAGTAAAAAAATATCCTAAAGCCAAAAGTAATAAAATTTATTGCATGAATCCCAAGATTAAAGCCAAAAAGTTAAAACTGATATCTCGGACTTTATATTAACTATAAGTTTCACTCACTGCACTTAGCTCTGTGAAGTAAAAGTAAAGTAAAATAATCTAGGTAAACTATAGGTAAAAATATAATATTAATCATAAGCTAAAATGTACTAATCTTTGTATTCTAAATGGGGAAAAAAGAAGAAACATTGTCAGTCAGTCGAGAAAATTGTCAGTCAGGCTATATGGCAGCTTTGTAGATGTTGTGACTATGCTAGTAGTGGTCCCAGGCTTGCGACTGGAATTGCGGTGTTAAATCGATTTAATGGTACCAACGATCCACCTCCCACTTGTTGTTTGGTACTTAGCATTAATAGTGTTAGCTGTAGCCATTTATAGCAAGAATCTTAAAACTAAAGGGGATGACAAGGAAAAGAGGAAGGAAAAAGAATAACGGGACAAACAATTAATTAAAGTATTCATAGGAGCATTAGATATTGTAATTACAAGCTTCAATAATAAATCACTGACTAAAACTTCTAATTAAAATGACACTTGGTACGCTCGCCCATTTTCACTGGTCAGTCTGAACTTCGGTTTAGCACGTTGTACACTTATTCACCTAAGTTTCAGAATTTGTTCAGTTTAGCAGAGTTAGTACCCGTGTTTCAATAAATCAAAAGATATCAGGGGAGTTCTTTAATAATGTTACGGTCATCTAGAATACCGAACTTCCTGAAAACGTTATCGTATTTCCTCAGACAACGTTTAATGCCTTTAATCAGTCTATCACGGCTATATCCTCTATCAATTAGAATTTTGAATATTTTGTGAAGATGGGAGGTAAAGATATCCAATCTAGTGCAAACATTGCCATATCTAAGAACTTGACTTGAAAAAGCGTTGTAGCCAACCTCGGTTGGGATGTTACTGTGAGGAAATGTAAGGGATACAACATGAAAATTAAAATCATCAGTTTTGTTATACACTGATATTTCTAGTCCTTCTGTGGAAATATTAATATTTAAATCAAGGTAGTTAATGATTTTATTATTGGAACCAGCTCGCTCCATCTCCAATGAATTAGGATAAATATCTTTAATCAATTTATGAAAGTAAAGGTAGTTAATAATAGATAAATCGTCAACATATCGTTTATTATTGGATAATATCTTTGCTAATCCCATTTTCTTTTCCTGAAGTAAACGTTTCATATAATTAAATTCCTTTTTGCCAACAGTGAGATCAGCTATAGGGGAACTTGAATTTCCACCCATAGGAATACCCTTGGTTTGTATGAATACAATCCCACCGAAGACGACATAAGTGTTATAAATAATAAATTTAACAGCCTCTTTTAGGTCATCTTGACTAAAGCAGGCATGAGAATCATAGGTTTTATTGGAAAAGAAACATGTATTACTGTCTCTTTTAGAAATACAAATATATCTATTACGGTCTGAAAATATTAAATCAACAACTTCATTAATCATATTCTCTACTTCAATCAAGTCTAATCTGGTATAAAGAGTAGTAAAATCATATACTTGTATATTATAAACATCGCTATTTTTGATAGCTTCAAGGAATTCACTTGAGGAATCTATGCTCCAAAACATGTTTATACCGCTGTTGTTGTAGATTGCCTCGCAGTATTTCTTGAAGTATTTCCTCAAAAGTTTCAGACAACAGTTAACTTGGACGTTAAGTTGTTTCGTAACGCAAAAACGGGCACCTGCAATGAACCTCGCCTTGTAAGGGTTCTTATGAAGCTTAGGGTTCCAGAAGATGCGTGCTAGTCGCAAGTTTTTATCTTCAACTTGTACATTAAATCTCTCCTTTAGACTCTCAGATATTTTATTGACATAATGAGTCTCGTCTTCGCTACAGGGTTTATATGTATCATTACCTATACATTCTAGAGTATTAGGATCAAAACCCATTTCATTGACAAGAGTTTTTACATAAAACTTTTTACAAATAAATGAAAAATTACCAGAAGCTTTGTCGATACTACAAATAATGTATTTACTTTTCAGCAATTTAAGACTTCTTTTAACATCATCTTTTTCCAGTGTGTTTTCTTTTATTTCAAATGTTTCAGGAAAGTTTTTCTTGTAATATTCAATACGATTGGAAACTACTGATAACACTTAAAGTTAAATTAACAAATGGTTAACCAGGTAAGTATATAGAGTGCCTGACTAACAAGCCGAGTACATTGCACAGAGAGGAGTTACACACAATGTTAGCAGCTGCTTACAACTGTCTCACTGTCTGGTGTCTCAACTACACTGAGCTCTTCACTGACGGTCCTAGTCTCCTCAAGTGTCTCCAGGTTAGTCTCCTCAAGTGTCTACAGGTTAGTCTCCTTAAGTGTCTCCAGGTTAGTCTCCTCAAGTGTCTCCAGGTTAGTCTCCTCAAGTGTCTCCAGGTTAGTCTCCTCAAGTGTCTCCAGGTTAGTCTCCTCAAGTGTCTCCAGGTTAGTCTCCTCAAGTGTCTCCAAGTTAGTCTCCTCAAGTGTCTCCAAGTTAGTCTCCTCAAGTGTCTCCAAGTTAGTCTCCTCAAGTGTCTCCAGGTTAGTCTCCTCAAGTGTCTCCAGGTTAGTCTCCTCAAGTGTCTTCAGGTTCATTTTATTCTGATTGTGGTTTTTAGTTCTGAGATTTATAAATTTTTCGTTTATTGACGGTATCTATTCGTATCGATGAAACTAGATACAAATCTATGGGTTGCTTGGGTTGTCCCAGGCCAGGTCCAATTTTAACTCTATTGGTTGTTACTTGCTAAAATACTCCTTACTCCAGGTAATAGAGTCCGGTATATCAAGTAGATGCTCTTACAACCACGTCTCCCACGAGAAAGTACTGAAAGAAGACAAGAAGAAACTACCCATATCTAAGCGAGTGGGAGATAAAGCACAGTTCCTCTTAAAACAACTTCATAATCACAACCCGCTCAGAGATCAGCTAAACCAGCAGCACCATTTGTCAGAACGGCAACTTTTGGAGCATTGGTAGACATTTAAAACGTTATTTAAACTGGCATCTTATAATCACAGTGGTACCAATTAAAATTATCGTGAGGATGCTATTACTACGTAGTACGTTTAGTTCGTTTCAAATAAATCAAAATTTCTTAATTTCGAACGATTGAATGATTGTTTATATTTCTATATAATATAATTAATAAATACAATTTGTTTAATGTTTTCATTCTATCTAACTCTGCTCAGGTCCAAACTGTACCGCGGACACGAGGCGAGATGTCATGTCACGTGGTGTGACGTCATGTCACGTGGTGTGACGTCACGTCATATCTAACTCCTCCTGTGCTCAGGTCCAAGCTGTACCCCGGACACGAGGCGAGATTACAGTATTTGGTTATTGAGAGTGACACAATTCTCTGTCTCATCAACCCTCCTCCTGGACTTGCAGGTTTACAGATGTTAGATGTAGTGGGACGTCATGTCACGTGGTGTGACGTCATGTCACGTGGTGTGACGTCATGTCACGTGGTGTGATGTCATGTCACGTGGTCCCCTATCAAGATTCTAAAAAAAGTGCGATGAGATTGGATTTTGACACTAAAAGTGCGATTTTCACGTGTCACGTGCAGTGGCGAAATTTACTCCCCAGTCAACACCCCCCCCCCCCCCAGCCTGCAAGATTTCTTGCTCCACAAATTATTTTCTATTTAAAAAGATTTCGCGAGTCCCTTTGTAAGCGAAATTGTAAGTATGTCGCTTTATGTCGCTCGATGTTTATTTCTCAGAATTGTAAGTATGTCACTGTTATTGGATCCATAAATAACGAAAAATTTACGTGCGTATTTTTATGAATTTTATTATGTTACATATTGTTATTTTGGTAAGCCTTACGTAGCACGACGGTTTACGGCGCGCTCGTCAAGCAGTAGACTCGGGTTCGAGTCTCGTCAGCGGTCACTCTTCTGGCAATTATTAATTATTTTACTAAAATTATCATCAGAGCACCTTGTAATATACGTTATCCGATAGATTATACTGTTCGTACTTCATCTAGAGAAGACTGGCATTTAAGGATTTGTCCGGGGAAGGCCTCGTTCACACTGGAACATGTCAAATTATTGTAAACGGAGTTATCTGGTGATGTTTGTTTTGTTTATGGCTAGAATTTAGAATGGAATCAATGTGATGAGGATCCAGAGTTAATTACCTGCTAGGATTAATAAGTCAGTTCTCCAGTTGAAGAGACCCTTTCTCAAACTTTTAATGAAGAAATATTCACTATGCCTATGGCAGTATCAAGTATATTCTGAGAAAGATAGAGTAGACTGTAGCCAGGAATAGTACCTTGAGATTTAGACCTCCTTTAATGGTAACCATGGTAACTATAGTACTAACCACTGTGAATCTTGATCTTATAACAACTAGTATCCTTTAAGACTTAGACAGTACATTGAATAGCGATGAAAAGCGATGAAAATGCAAGCGCGCGACCGAATATGTAGTGCTGAAAGAGGGTGCCGAAATCTCGCGGAGAATCTCACGATATCGTGAGCCTAGCTATGAGATTTAAACGAAACTCGCAAAAATCTGGCAAAAATCTCGCGCGCGTTACGTCGAAGTTTTCACGCTATAAACAAGTGATAAAATACACGTTAAGAGTATAAAATACATGTTAAGTTCCTAATTCCCTCAACTTTTAAGTTAAACTTTTTCTGTTTCCTCATTTATTTACAAATTTTGTGCGATGAGTCTGGCTCGCAATCTCGCATAAATCTTGAGCTGGGCACGTGGTGTGACGTCATGTCACGTGGTGTGACGTCTGTGGTGTCGTTATATACATATTGTTATGTTTTATTATTTTCCTTAAATAGTTCATTCCTAATAAACAGCATTATCTCACGACTATTTAGTGTTTACAACCCATTCCAGCTGAGCTAGGTAGGGACACCTCAAATAAAACCCCGGTCCTCTACATCGTGTTAAAAGATACTGATGTAGCGTGACGTCATATCACGTGGTGTGACGTCACATCATAATGTGTAATAATAATCCATTACAGCTGAGCTAGGTACGGACACCTCAAATAAAACCCCGCTCCTCTACATCGTGTTAAGAGATACTGATGTAGCGTGACGTCATGTCACGTGGTGTGACGTCACATCATCATGTGTAATTATAATCCATTACAGCTGAGCTAGGTACGGACACCTCAAATAAAACCCCGGTCCTCTACATCGTGTTAAGAGATACTGATGTAGCGTGACGTCATGTCACGTGGTGTGACGTCACATCATAATGTGTAATTATAATCCATTACACTTACAGCTGAGCTAGGTACGGACACCTCCAATAAAACCCCGGTCCTCTACATCGTGTTAAGAGATACTGATGTAGCGTGACGTCATGTCACATGGTGTGACGTCACATCATCATGTGTAATTATAATCCATTACAGCTGAGCTAGGTACGGCCATTTCAAATAAAACCCCGGTCCTCTACATCGTGTTAAGAGATACTGATGTAACGTGACGTCATGTCACGTGGTGTGACGTCACATCATAATGTGTAATTATAATCCATTACAGCTGAGCTAGGTACGGCCATTTCAAATAAAACCCCGGTCCTCTACATCGTGTTAAGAGATACTGATGTAGCGTGACGTCATGTCACGTGGTGTGACGTCACATCATAATGTGTAATTATAATCCATTACACTTACAGCTGAGCTAGGTACGGACACCTCCAATAAAACCCCGGTCCTCTACATCGTGTTAAGAGATACTGATGTAGCGTGACGTCATGTCACGTGGTGTGACGTCACATCATAATGTGTAATTATAACCCATTACAGCTGAGCTAGGTACGGACACCTCCAATAAAACCCCGGTCCTCTACATCGTGTTGAGAGATCCTGAGGTAGCATGACGTCATGTCACGTGGTGTGACGTCACATCATCATGTGTAATTATAATCCATTACAGCTGAGCTAGGTACGGACATTTCAAATAAAACCCCGGTCCTCTACATCGTGTTAAGAGATACTGATGTAACGTGACGTCATGTCACGTGGTGTGACGTCACATCATAATGTGTAATTATAACCCATTACAGCTGAGCTAGGTACGGACACCTCCAATAAAACCCCGGTCCTCTACATCGTGTTGAGAGATCCTGAGGTAGCATGACGTCATGTCACGTGGTGTGACGTCACATCATAATGTGTAATTATAATCCATTACAGCTGAGCTAGGTACGGACACCTCCAATAAAACCCCGGTCCTCTACATCGTGTTGAGAGATCCTGATGTTAGTCTGTCAGTCCACTGGTTAAAGTATGAGAAAGACCCTCTCACTGACAAATCCTCTCCTCGACAAAAGGTAAGTCACGTAATTGTCGTCACTTGAACTTATGTTGCTAAAATTATGCACTTCTTAACTTTGAAATTCTGAATCTGAGCGTTTAAACGAGAACGAGCACGTGATGCAATTGCTTGGGATTGGTTATCTCTCAATGAAAATGGCAACTATTACTAAGAAAATGAAATCTAGCTATTTGTGAGACAATAAGTTCGATTATATATGACGTGTAGTTATTAGTGTACCAATATGATTGGCAGGAGACATGTTTTTAGGTGTGCCGTCCGAAGGTTCCAGAGAACACTAGCAGAAACCAGCCTGAAGTTAGGGAGTGTACTATTGGCTGGCCGGATATCCTGCATAGGAACTACGTGCACTTGAAGGAAGATACTAGGTAACATCACGTCACCAGGTAACATCACGTCACCAGGTAACATCACGTCACCAGGTAACATCACGTCACCAGGTAACATCACGTCACCAGGTAACATCACGTCACCAGGTAACATCACGTCACCAGGTAACATCACGTCACCAGGTAACATCACGTCACCAGGTAGCATCATCTAGTATCATCACGTCACCCTGGTAACCCCCTAACACCACGTTTAAAGATATTACATAAACGTTGCAGTAAAATTCATCTGATTTTCACGGTCAGAAATGTTTTAAAATCTAATTATATTATATTATGTATGGTAAAAATAAAATTGCTTCAGACTAACACCAAAAACAATAAAGAATATCGGTCTACCAAGATTCAAGAAATCATACTTCTCATGAAAACTTCCTCTTATCGGGTTTAACACGTGTTTTTAAAAATGTCTTCGGGCAGTTTCCAAGAAGCACGAAGACTAAGGGTAGAAAACTTTAGGGTTAAGGTTACCGGTTACGGTTAGGGTAAACTTTAGGGACCCTAACCCCACCCTTACCCTTACCCAATGTCTTAAAACATGTGTACCATAATGTCTACCCTTACTGGTCGAGCATCTCGGATACTACCACGTAGTTCACACTTCACACTTTGCCTCGTTGAGTCTTGCTCATATACGCAGAATACTGATCAACTGTTGTGCAGTGGGTGAAAGCTACGATATTCTCAGCCTGGACTAGAGAGAAAGTCTTGCTTATGTCTCCTAACTCTTTCTCGTAGTCATTTCCAATCTTTGGGAGGATTAGGAGATTTAATAACGAGCTGTGACGTAAGTTTTGAATTAGGTTGTATTCTGCCTATCCTTATTGGTATTAAAATACGTGTACTTAAAGATTGTCAGAACATTTTTGACTACCAGCATAAAATGATCCAATGTGAGGATACGTTTATAACAGCAAAAATTAGGTTTATCAAGTCTTTATATATTTGATGACTCACTTTATCGTAAGAAGGGAACGGAGATTCTGTCAACTCAATCAGCTCTATCAGCTTTTCAGCCAAGTTGAGGTGACCTGTGAGGTTTGAGAGGTTGCAAATATTTAGAATATCCCTGTTCAATGGGGCCGGGGAGGGGAGAGGGTGGGGGAGGGGCCGGGGAGGGGAGAGGGAGGGGGGGAGAGGGAGGGGGGGGGGAGGGGAGAGAGAGGGAAGGGGGGTGGGTGGGGGGGAGAGGGAGGGGGGTATAGGGAGGAGAGGGAGGGGGGAGAGGGAGGGGGGGGGGGGAGGGGGAGAGGGAGGGGTGGGTGTGGTGGGTTTGGGGTGTGGTGGGTTGTGTTTTAGTATTTTAGTATTTTAACTGACCCTATTATTATCCTCTACTTATCTCTAAGCTAACTCACCATCCCTGGATAGAGTCATGCCATCTCTACCAACGTTAGCATCAAGAGCTTTATTTAACAGAGCTGCAGAGTCCACAAACTGTCCTCCCACCCTTTGAGCCACCTCTTTAGTCTTTTCAGTATACTTTTTTATAGCGCTCTTATCTATTGATAGACCTGACAATTATGGTGTAAGCGATTGTGTAGTTTTGATACTGTTATAAAAGTCGTAGCTTCCCAAGTTAACTTAACTGCTCGCTAAGAACTCTTTCAATCAAATGAATCAGATTGAAAATTCTAAATATGAAACATCCTGAATCTGACGTAGGTTATAATATAATACCGTCAAAATTGTTTCCAGCATCCCCCTCAAATCTCATAGTATGTATGGGTAAAGGAGAGAGCAATAGGAAACGCTCCGAGTTCATGTCTACTTCATTTGTTATCTTGTCGACCAACGAGTAGAGGTTCTTTCGGAACTGGCAAATCATTATAAAGTTATAACAGTCACTATATTATTAATTGACCATATCTTTGTATTTCAATATTGTTAATTTTACCTTCTAGATATCACATTCAAGAACAAGGAGCTGAGAAAACCTTCAAGACCTAAAAGAGATGGAGAAATAAAACGACCACAATTAAAACTAGCTAAACCAGTGAATCCAAGCCAAGTTACCTGATCAGGACATGTGACAGGTCTCTTATCTTGCTTACTCCGCAAGCAATCGCCTCTACCACACAGGATGATAACGTAGTCAGGAGTAGAGCCCAAGTTCCTGGCCACACTACTCATAAGTAGTTTTATCCACTCTGTTGTGTAGCCAGGGAACTTCCTGGGCAGAGATTTTGGTAGAGGAAATGTTTGATTGGCTTACTTCTGAGTATAAATAATCCAAACCTAACCTAAGGACTACTTCAACCAAAACTGCTAGAATCTTAATCATTTTGAAGTTAAGTTGGGACAATCTCAGTGTGCAATCAAACCTTAGAATAACATCAGCTTCTCCGTTGAATCGATCATTTAAGATTGTGGCAAAACCGTACGTTTTTAACGCAGATTCGACTTCACTGTCTCCAATGATGAGAATTCGACTCGACATCTTCAATGATCATTAGTAAAATAAAACAATTATCTTTCCAAAAATCAGCAAATTTAGCGATAATATCGTTAATGATTTCCATTTCTCCATTTAGGTCCAGTATTTATTATTAGGTTTATCATACCTTTACAAAGTATAAAACGTTTGCACATAGAATAAGACTAAGAAATGTGAAAAAAAGAAGAAAATCCACAAAAATATGCACATTTTATCAAAAGCAACATAAAAGTGTTTAGTACCATCAACACTCAACAGAAGTTCGGGACAACTGATTGCCAATTACCGAGTTATTTATAAGACACTTCCGGACTTGAATCAGGAAAAGATGACGGTAATTTAGTTATTGTATGTATTATGTAGGTGACCTACATGATAATACCTGCATTGTAGGTTGTGCATATTCATAAAGTTATATTTAGCTATTAAGGCACTGCTTATTGGTAACGGAGAGATTTGTTTATTGAGTGAAATGGCGTTACCCGGACTTTTTTTCTGGAGAAGCCACGAGAGTTAATTAGCAAAATCTAATCAAATCTAATGCAAACTCCATTAAAGAGTTAAAATAAGTACTAAAAGCGGAAATGTCAAATAAAAAACTGCGGATTTAAGACTCAGAAGTAGTGAAATATTGACATAAAATAAATCCCCATTAAAAAACCTAAATCACAATAACCTCAAATATCACAAACTATCTGACAACTGTTATCCTATTGACCCCGCAATATTAGTTCGATATATTTTTAAAACTTATAAAGGCATACGTAAGAGAAAGGTAACAATGTGCCATTGAAAAGGCAGATTTATGAAACAGCAACCGACGTCCGACTGGTTTTCGCCATTCTAACATTCAATGATGTCATGGTCTGGCCAAAATAGATATTATCGTTAAACGTATTACCAACTTTGGCACCATATCCCATATCTCTTTTTAAATCATATTACCAGCTAGCTTCATCACGTACACGTCGTCAGCTAACATCACATATTCACATTTCCAAATATCTGTCTAGAGAAGCGACACAAATAAACTGGTCTCCTGACAATTTCCTCCGCAGTACATTTGAAGACGTCCAGGAGAGACTTAAAGAGACAGCTTGTCCGCAAAAGGGAGAGTTTTGTGATACCAGGGAGTTTGTACGGGAGGAACAGCTCACCCAGGTCTTTATTATTCTAGTTTCTGTTTCTGTTTCTGTTTCTATTTTGTGATACCAGAGAGTTTGTACGAGAGGAACAGCTCACTCAGAGAGTTTGTAGTTTTCTTTCTCTTTCTCTTTCTCTCTCTCTCTCTCTCTTTCTCTTTCTCTTTCTCTTTCTCTTTCTCTTTCTCTTTCTCTTTCTCTTTCTCTTTCTCTTTCTCTTTCTCTTTCTCTTTTATATGGGAGGAAAAGCTCACTCCGGTCTTTTGAAGTCTTCTTTCTGTTCCTGTTTATGTTTCTGTTTCTGTTTCCGTTTCTGTTTCTGTTTCTGTTTCTGTTTCTGTTTCTGTTTCTGTTTCTGTTTCTGTTTCTGTTTCTGTGTTTGTTTTTGTTTCTGAATTCTGTTTCTGTGTTTGTTTTTGTTTCTGAATTCTGTTTTGTGATACAATAGAGTACGTGAGTAACAGCTCATCCAGGTCTTAATTATTCTAGTTTCTCTGTCTGTTTTTCTTCTTTCGTCATTAACTTGCAATTATTAATCAACTATTTACAGCAAACACAAGATAATAGAAATTAAATCATAAAATCGAGTGGCCGAGTAGTCTCGACTCACCCATAACTTCTCCAACTCTCCAAAGACGTCTATCATGAGCTTTGTACACTAAATCGTTGAAATTACTTAAACTAAATCTTTTATTTACAATCACAATAATTTGTTTTGTCATAATGTCTTTTAATAATAAATCAAATAAATTTGAACGAGGTCTGCCCCTCCTTCCTTTATAGTCAAAACATCCTAAACATGCAAATCTGAAAGATAAGAAGGCGGGAGTGTCATCACCGCTTCTGAGAACGTGCCCAAGCATCTTCCATCTTGCTTTCTTGATCCTTTCAGTAAGGGGTCTGACATTACATCTCTTATATATCTGAGAGAAACTATATAGCGTGACTATGATTCTTACCGGATATCAACGTTTCAACTATCATCAAGTGAAACATCTACAGTTAATTGCTTTAAAAATGTTTGGAAACTACAACCTACACTTCAACAATCTCCCTACCCTGGAGTCCCTTCTTCTGTTCTACTGTCACTCATGTTGTGGTGTTCAACAAGGCTAAAATTTGTCCCAGACTTCTCACCAAGATCCATACTCTCGGAGCCAAGCTGATCTCTTCTGTGGCTGTCATAACGTGGCTTGAAGACTACAACATTGTGAATAAACACAACTCCTCCCCTCCCAAACCTAAACCTGCCCCTGTCCTTACTCCTGTCATCACCCAGAGAGCAGCTCTTGTAATTCAGGATGAAGAGAAGATCTACAAGCCTCAGTTCCTGACAAGAACCGAAGTTCCGTGCTTCCCAGACCACCCCTGTACTGGATCACCCTGGGCTAAACAGATAAGTCCTGGAGACCACTCCAAACCTACTGCTCAGAACAGATCCCTCACAACTCAATCCCCACCTCGCCTCATACCAACCCAACGGAAGATATTCTGTGAGAACTGCAGAGTTTCTTGCAGCGATCTGGACGCTCACTTCAAGACATTACAACACCGGAGATACGCAGAGAACAACAAGAACTTTGCTGAGCTGGATGAAGTAATCGGAGATCTTACTTTAGAGAATCTGAACAATCCCCGCTATCAGCCATACCAATCAGAGTCATCTCTAGTTATGGAAGTGACAATGACTTGGTGAATGTTGTCCAGAAATACGAAGGTCACTTGAGACGAACTCGTAGTTTTAGTGAAAGTGAGAGTCAGCAAGCCACAAACTCCACCACAGCACCGAAAGGAAAAAATAAACTGTTTCAGTTTGTGAAGAAAACGGGATCTACGCTTAGATCTCGCCTCGTTACATCTAAACAGCTTGCCTTAGGTGCTAAACATGGTAAAACTGAACCCTGTCACAGAAGAAACTGCAAGTGTTGTAAAATGGTCATGAATAAGTTTGCCATCACATCAAATGGCAAAAAGATCAAATCAGCCCCTGGTTGTTGCAAGACCTATAACATCATCTATCTTGTACAGTGTTCGATTTGTAAGAAAAACTATGTGGGTAGGACTATTAATAGCTTGCATAAAAGGATGGACGGACACAGGTCCAAATTTTATGAAATCGTTGATGGTAGAGCATTTGATATTACTAGTGATGAGTATAGCCTAGGAGTTCACTTGATTGACCACGGTTTAGGAGTACATACAGACTTTAATGAAACTTTTAGAACTTTTATTTTAGAGAATTGCAGTCCCAGTACACTTGAAGTAAAAGAAAATAACTACATACATTTGCTTAATTCTCTTAGACCTTTTGGCCTTAATACTGTCAATCCCTTTGGATTACCTATATTCCATAAACCTTAATATGATCTTTTTACCTTTTTCGGATTCCTAATTTTGTAACGGTTTGAGTTTCACTAACCTTTTAACATTTTTTAGGTTCAATGTCACTGGAGATGACTACAATCGAAATATATTTGGCAAGAATCTGAATGTTTTCAGTGTCGAAAGTTTAGTTTCTTAAATCCTGGAGTAGTCATTCGTGTCCCTGATATTTGGGTTAATTCTAACTCTCCTTTAGAGAATCTTTTATCTAATTCCAACAAGAAGAGAAGAGTTCAAGTGCCTACCCTCCGCATGACTCTACATTCTCGGATACTTATTCGACCTTGTCCTCCTCTTACCATGGGATTCTCTTTTAGGAGATAGCGATTAGAATAGTGTTATTTATTATTTGTATTTGATTTTAAACATGCTTTAACAAATTATTGGTATTTATTTCACTTAAATTCACCTGAAAGGAGCCCTATTTAAGGTAATGAATTAGCAGTGGTAAATCGGTTAACGAATTTGTGCTGATAGATATAAGAACTAGTAAGATCACTTGCACTAGATGCAGTTCAACACTAACACCCCTAACTCAGGAAATAAAAAGAGAAAGTGAGCGAACACGTGACCTCTCAGACCCGCCTCCTCCCCCGGACTTACAAATACCGCAATGTGTGTCTAACATTGACAGTGCGCGCTTGTTCCTCGCGCACTCTGGTATTCTCACTCCCAAGATGTTTGATGATTCTGATCAGTCTCCTTCAGTAGTTCTCCTCAAAAACAGGTCAGTTTGACCTGTTTCAGGTCAACATGTAATTAACAGGCCAGAGTTTGAGAGTTTCTTAGATCAAGACGTGTACAATCTCATAAAGTTTAATCTCGTATTAACATCAAACTAACCCCACTTAACCTCAAATAAACCGCACCTAACCTCAGTCCAGCACTACAAGCGAGACTAAAGGAACTGGACGACATTCCTACACGTGACTGCCACACGGTGGTAGTGCTACTAATGAGGACTGGACAGAACAGTGTAAAGGAGATTCTGCGAAACACTAACCTCCTCAGTGCCAACAAGGCGTACCATGACTTTGTTGTGGAATTGGGGGATAAGTTGGTATGTGACATCGTGTTTCTGTTATTATATTTTACATTTTACATGTTTTACATATAAATCACATTCTTTTCTGTTTTTCTGTGATTTAAATCAATATTTGTTATTTTCAGCTTATGTTTGTTAACCTCTATGTTTATCAGCTTGTGGAACCTTCGTGTTACCATCTGGTGTAACATTACTTTAATAATCACCAGGTCGTGTTACCATCTGGTGTAACATTACTTTAATAATCACCAGGTCGACGTGAGTAAATTTGAAGGCTGGACGGGACTGCAACCATTTGAGAACTGGAGCAACAAGAACATAGACACCCCTGCTCCTACCTTCCCCTACTACTCAGACAGCTTTAACGAGATGATCTTCCTCCTTCCTAACCTAATACCTACACAGGGCGATCTGGATAGCCCGTGTAGTCCTGATCTGGAGCCCCAGCCCCTGTTTGAGCAGGAGTTCAGTGAGGCTAGTGTACCGTTATCTGGTGCGCGGTCTTATTATCAGCGGGATTTGTTAGAGAATATTCTCTGGGAGGTCCCTGTGGATAGTGGCAAAGAAAAATCAGTTCTGAGTAAGATTGTTGTGGTTTGGGCTGAATCTTTTGACGACACACGACGCTTCCTGATCAACAACCTTGCCCTGGGTCTCGACTGTGACAAGGATTCTCGTTGTGTGGTAATCTTCATACACCCCTTACAAAGTGGGCTGTTTAAAACGAGCGTGAGAAGTCTGAACAAGAACGATAAGTTTAACACAGTAGGGCTGGTTGACGAGAAGGAGAAGGTGGTGAGTAAGGAGATTCTGGGGATTGTGATCAGGGAGACGTGTCTGGCTATTCGTACTTCCAGTCTGTTGGAGCAGTCTCCCAGACTCCGTCCACGGTCTAGGAGACTCAATCATATAACTGATAGAATAATACACGAACACAGGTCAAATGACACGGAGAATGGGTATTATAATGCTTTTTGTAAGGAACACTAACACTAGCACACAGATTGGGGAATGTGCGGAATGTGAAGCGTTATGAGACTAAACTCAGTGATTTTTACTTGATCCTACAATTTTATTTTATTTAGTTGTAAGATTTATTTCTTTGAAAGTTTGAACTTTATTTTCTTTCTTTTCGTCTTTGTGGCACCTACACTTCTGTTGTAGCGCATGGCTGGAATTCCCAAAATTTTTCACTTCACCACTTATACTCAATCAAACATTGTGTGACCAATATCACAATACCCATCAATCATCATTATATTGTATTCTATCGTTATTTCATACAAAGCTATCAAATTGTTTTTGAGATTGATATTTTTCAAATGATATTTAAAAAACGATCAAAATAATATTAAACTTGATCCTTATCATTCTTATAATTCTTTTTATTTCTTTATGAAATATTTCGAATTCTTAAGTAGACAATTGACTTGCTGAAAAATCGATTGATTGATTTTAGCGGGATTTTTACGAGATTGATTGAAGCTAAACTATCTAATAATATGATAATTTAGTGTGTTTTATAGCACACAGTCAGATATTGGGATGGTGCAGCTAAACATAAAATACGTTAAATTTCGTAATACTGAAACTAGGAATATAATAATAACACAATAACCAATAACCATGGATTGTATCTGTTTTTATTTATTATTTTATATTATTTGTTGAAAAGTTTTGTTTGACTAATGGCACTATTATATAATGATGATAACATTTGCTGACAGTGCTATATTAAAAGTGAAACTTGATCATGAGAAGCACTTTATGAAACATCATCGGTAATTATCATGATTATACTGTTGTCACTCTAAACTAATCTTCGAGATGAGTCAGGTTGAACAGAACTGAAAATTAAAGAAACCGGTTCTGTTTTCAGTGTTCTTAGGGGCCGATAACAACTAAGAACACTTGTCTCTACTTTACACCGTATTGTCACCTTTAGTACATTCTCATCTGACATTTGTCACATTTCACACATCTGACATTTGTCACATCTGACATTTGTCACATCTGACATTTGTCACATCTGACATTTGCCACATTCGTCACATCTGACATTTTTCACATCTGAAATTTGTCACATTTGATATCTGCAAAACAAAATATTTAAAATTTTGAGTCTTAATTTACACACTTTAAAGGATGATACGACATCAAATTGTTTACGACGATGAGTTAAAGAGAGACTTCAAAGAGTATACTGAAAAAGTGAGAGAATTAAAAGGTTTCTAATCTATTTTAATTTGTTTTGTCTACTTTCTTCGTACTTAATTATTAAGAACCGTAAAAAGTATTTACTATCATTTTACTGGTGCCATTTCATATACAATGTTTGTATTTGTCTCTTTTCAAAGTCAATACACACGTGTCTACTAACGTGTCACGTGTCTACTAACGTGTCACGTGTCTACTAACGTGTCACGTGTCTACTAACGTGTCACGTGTCTACTATCGTGTCACGTGTCTACTAACGTGTCACGTGTCTACTAACGTGTCACGTGTCTACTAACGTGTCACGTGTCTACTAACGTGTCACGTGTCACTCCCATGTTGATACTAACCCTCTCATTTCCAGGTCTATCAAATGAGACACAGTTAGAGCTTTATGGGCTGTACAAGCAAGCAACATGTGGATCATGTAACATCACTAAACCTGGCTACTTTGACTTTAAAGGTTAGAGATTGGTTGTTTCGCGAAAAGAAAGGCTCTGAAATCATGTTCATTAAAACTAAGGAGCTCAGACTTGTTACATCTTGTTGCAGATGATTTAAAGAATACCTATTAAACTGTAACTTTATAATTAATACCATACTAATCATTTCAGGGCAAGCTAAGTATGACGCTTGGAATAGTTTAGGTGACCTTTCTGAATCTGACTCTATGCTGATGTACATTGATCTTTTCAACAGGTAAATGTCTTGCTGATTAGGTGTTATCTCTTTGCAGCAGCCCACAAAATAGGAGGCAACGTATTCTCAATTTGTTTGGCACGCCCCTATCTCTTGCCCCAATTTCTCGCCGCGAACACATCCTCTGGAAAATAGTGCCATTCTAACATCCTTCATTGGGCGCGGTCGCCAATCGCCTTCTCTGTTATACTCTTAGCGCCACAGGCATAATTAGTCCGGCCGCGCTACGCGCGCTGCACTGGTGCGCACCGTGGGAATTTACCGTCACAGTGAAAAAGTTTAATCGGCTTATTGTTAACGTTGAATTAATTGAAATTAATTATTTAGATTATCCATTATCCAGATAGTGCACGTCTTGTAGTCTTTACCAGGTACAGACTCTTTAATATCTGGTAACTCCTCTATGAATATCATGTAGCTCACCCCAGTAATCATTATTCACAGTTTGGACGAAGACGATCTTAATAATAAAGAACAAGATGAGGGTATAGTTAAAATGAGCACCTTGTACGATCCCAAGGTTCGTGTTTCAACAAGTTCTTACACAATTTTACACAATTTTACACTTTGCCAAACATAAAACTAGACCGGACAGCGGACTAATATTCCATAATAATGCTGGCTAAATCTCTTTCAATCGTTATTTTCCAACATCATTTGAAACAAATAATGGAGTAAATAACACAGCAGATTCTTTAAAGTTGTTCTCGCAAGAAACATAACATAGTATCCCACAGGCAGACGAAGCTGACAGTGATAAAGATATATGGCATGCTTGCAGACATGGAAATGTTGCTAAAGTCAAGGAGCTACTTACTCCGGATATAATACAGACAGTTGATAAGGAGGGACGGTCTTTACTACACTGGACCGTTGATAGAAACCATCTGGAGTTAACCCAGTGGTTGCTAAGCCAAGGTATTGAGATGTTATTCTGGTGGCATTTGTATTAATACGAAACAGACTAACTTTTGTATTTTTATCTGTAATTTAGTCCGAACTTCACCTTGAAGTTGTGGTATGTTACCATGTGTGTAACCGAGTAGATTGTAGACCAGAATACAATATACAATATACATATCTATATTTAAAACGCAAATTTCAGGGTGTGTAGCAGATGTGCGGGACAGTGAAGGGAGCACGGCGTTGCACTATGCTGTGACGTGTGAATATCTTCCCTTAGTGAAACTGCTTCTAGAACATGGTTTGTGGAATGTTTTCTTGCTTTTTAAAACTACATTAGGCAGTCTGTTGTCGAAATAAAAAGTAGAGCCGACTCTGCAATGAAATGAATTTCGGTAGTGTACTTAGGGGTCATTTACATATTACGTAATAATTTGTTGGCAAATTTTTAGTGAAGATCGATAAATTGTACTAGACATTCACATTGCTTATATCCTTAAAAGTTGCGATAATAATTTGACTTATGGTAAGTTACCATGGTTACGTTACAGGAGCATCACCAGCAGTCAAAGACGAGGATGGGTGCTCGCCACTCGAGGTATGCGAGTCAGAGCAAATAAGAGACTTCCTCATAAAGCATGTCACGTGACATAGTCATTAGAATCAGGACATAACTTGGCAACTATCCCTGCTTGGGCTGGATCTAATGGTTGGTTTCTTGTCTGAGGATATGTTGAGGTCCGGACCTATCTACATTTAAACCTATTGACTCTTGGGGACTTTAGTCCGGTTTGTATTAGGATTCGAGCAATAATCTGAAATAGGGATGAGACTTAGGGAGTCAGTAGACATCATGTTGTTTGGTCTTGAGTATGGGATGTCCTACAGTTTTGATACTTGATATTTATTTGTTGTGAATAGTGTCCTCGATTGAGTTCATCTTGGTGCCGTTTATAACAGCGTTTTTATTTTCAATAGACCACTTTCAGAGGATCGTTTAATAAATGTATAGAAACTAATTTTGAATCAATTTTTATGAGATTCGATCAATTCCTGCATCTCCATGTTACAAAACGTAAAACATCAACTTTTTAACACTAAATTTTGTACATAATATTACAGTGAAATTGAAATTAATAGTCCCTCCCCGGCAATCAAAAAAACACTGAAAACGTTATATTAAAACGTTGGCGGGTGAAAGTGAAACGTTGGTGGTTTCACTACTTGTTCGAAATAAGCCATGAAAATAAATTAAACAGATCCAGCTGCAACAAGTCGCTTGATAACACCAAATTAGCTTAGTTAACATTAATTTAACCTGTGAAAATTGATTATTAAATATTCTACATTATATACACAGTCCAATTCTTACATGGTTAATAAATTATCATTTAAATTAATTAACTATTTCAAAACATTTTACTGATCAACTCCAAAACCTCCTAAATGAACAGTTCTCCCGCTTAATTTTGTAAAAAGAAATCTAAGAATGTACACACAAAGTAGCACCTAAAAACAAGTTCTCCTTGCGTTTAGAAAAGACGACATCCTCGTTTTTCTAATATCTTGGGGCACTTTGCTCTCTTTGCTCGAAGATGTTTGGGGGAAGATATTTCCACTGATCCATTGTCACTTTCAACCTGTAACATTATGCATTGTCACTTTCAACATGTAACATTATGCATGAAAATCGATAACTATAGATTAAATCAGATGTAATGGGTGCAATTTTACAGTAGTTTACTACAAAATTAATAGTAGCTGTGAATAGAGTGACACGAATACAATAACAATAACTGTGTACGGCACTTAAAATGGTTAAACTAATTAAAAACGCTACATTGTTCTCATTGATCGAGGACGGTAGCGGAGACCATTGATTCATTTAAAATGTAACTACCAACTATGTGAGGTATTTACAAGTCTTCAGTTTACAAATCAGTGAAACACAAACATACTATGCGGGGGGACTACAGACCCCCTCAAAGTCCTTTTCAACGTTACTGCCAGGTCACATAGCACTCAATAAATGTAATAGATTTGTATTGATGTAATTAGTTTAAATGTGTACCTGAACTGCATCGTCCAATGGTAAGCTCCGTTCCTGACTCCCCACTTGCGCTGTTCTGATGTTATTAAGTGAAGCAGTCTCGGATTTGTGGACTAACAACAGCATCACTACGACTAACAACACTTTTCCTACCATTCTGCTGAGATGTACTTTCAGCCTAGATCAATATAATCATTAATTTATTAAAACAGTGTGATTAGTTACCTGGTATAATGTATCAATCAAATAAGGGGATATTTCAATATAAAATATAGAAATATCCTAAAATATCTGGTAAATTGGGATTTGGGGTTCTAGATATATCTAGAAACCCAATTTACCAGATAATTTGGGAATGGAAAATTAGTATAATTTTCCTGGTGAGTCATGGTTTTACACTAGATACAACAAAATAATCACAATTCGGGAAAAGTGGGTGTTTCTGGTATATCAGACGTTCATTATTAAAATGGTGTTTGAAAACATTTCAAACAATTCTTTAATACAGCAGAGGAAACAACTTTATCAATCATAAAGTTTCGTTCACATATATATAGTGTTTTATTTAATCAAAAAGGCTGGTCAAGGTGAGCTAAAACGATTGTGGATAACATTTTTTTTGGAAAGTTTAAGATTGCATTTTAACAAAAATATCATTACTTGCACTTACACCACCGTTGTCTAAATCATTTCAGACATAGTCAGCCCCGATGACAGAGTTGAACGGATCGAGTGAACTTCATTAACAATTTGTTAATATTATCTAGAACTATTGATCTAGAACTATAGTGATCTAGAGCTATTGTTCGTTACCACACGTGATCGAAGTGCCATGACCCGAATTCTATCAATCGTAAACCAGCCTAGGGGGAAGGAATTTGGAAATTTGTAATTTCAACGCAATAGCCATGTCTAAAACTGATTACGTAGGGGGCTGGGGGAGGTGGGTCTAATTGGCCGAAATGTATGAACGATCCTAACTCTAGAAAATTAGGATTTCGTAGTACTTATAGTTATACATAGTATTTAGAACACACAGCCAAGGATCTTGGGATTCTCAGATACGTATCCATGAATGATGAAACATATTTTAGCTCTATAGTAGTGATACTGATATATGTTATTTTTATTGGCATTTCGAACACCTTCGTAACCTGGAAAATGATTTTTGTCTGTAACTTACTTTCTATAAAACTCATTACTATTAGATAATGATCAAAATAACGCAATAAGTTATTTCAGGTTTTAGTAAAGACAAAGTGATATTTCAATTTTATCTGGATTAAGATATAAATTGTATATTGTATATACCTTATCGGACATAATTATTACGGACATTACTTTCACCCTGAAGACCTTAGCGTGAATAATTATGTCCGCGATCTGAAAATAATGTCTGTGGCATTATGATTAAGGTCCGTGAATAATAAAGTCCGGTAATAATTTCCATTAATTTTAATGTGTGTGTGTCCTTACTATACATTATATGCGTAGATATGTGTGTAGCCGATTACTATATTATTATTAGCTTATAAGTATACTAGGATAAATATAATCTCTCCTCAGTCACATTCATTTGATTCTAGAACGAATTCAGAAAAAGAGTAAAACACTTATTTGAATTCACCAAATATTTTCACAATTTTTTGAAATTTTTGGGTGGTCATGAGCGCGCGTGAATAATTATGTCCGTGAAAAATTTGGTTCGTGAGAAACTTGTCCGTGACAATTATGTTCCAAGCTACCTTATCGGACGTTATTTGAACGGACATAATTTTGAACGGACATTAAAATGAACGCTCGATTAAGGCATTCATATTTTAATGAATATAATTTAACCGCCTTGTTGGACATTATTTGAACGGACATTAAAATGAACGCTAGGGCCTCCACCGTCCAATTAATGTCCGTCCAAATAAAGTCCGATGAAGTAAATCCAAGACCTGGTAATTTGCACTTTAAATTTAATGCTGAGAAGTTGGTGAATTTTGTATGAGTTTAAGTTGCAGTGTCACAATCATATCACTATCAAATAAAGACCTAATGTTGTATTCTAAAATGCCGAGCCTTGATAGTATTACTATTAGTAAATAGTTAACGTAACTTAAAGGATAAATAATAATCTTTATCTAGTTCAACGACCTCCGGACTTCATTCTCCCAGCCTGAAACGCACAGTAGGTATGACGTGTAAAATCTCCAAATAGATATAATAGCGGACGTTCGAACTCAAATACCGAGCTGCGAAAATTATTATGCGATCTCCGTGACTGATAAAACTGGAATTGCGACAGATATTGGCTGACATTAAAAGTAAAGTGAGGGTGCATATATTGAAGACATTAAACAGGGCTAGTCCCTGTCAAGTGGGGCGAGACATTCACCGACGTTTCGCCCGGGCCATTGTCTCAGCCAATCAGCTGGGGACCATATTGTCAATACAAATTCACCGGTAATTCCTCTCCCATCTTTATATAGAACAGAAAATAGCGGGCCCTCACACAATAACCTCATGACTAAACGGTGGGTAGGCGTGATACGCACGTCATCCTCATTTAGCGAGATAAAGACTAAACGAGGCACGTGTCTGGCACGTGTCCATTATTACACAATCCCCGCCTGGCGTGGCTCTTACGGAAATTTAGGTAGAAATACCGAGTTTACCTCAACTTCACACGTGAATATCTTTATTGTCACAGCCCTTTTAATTGAGATGGTTTCGTTTGACACGTGGTTTGACACGTGGTTTGACACGTGGTTTGACACGTGCAGTGCTCGGGTGAGTGTTGCTTACAATGGTTTTTATCACGTGACAACCCCATATAAGGATGTAGGTAATGGTGGGAACTGGGCCCGACTCATTATCATGGTTTCATCTCCTTTAATCTCCCAACTGTAAGGTTTAAACGGTGCACTGAACACGACAACGCCCGCCGTTCCCTACCCCAATGTGTGTCAGTACCTATTCTAGCTCTGAATTATACGAGGCTTGAAACATTACACAACAATAAACCAAATGCATGACCGCATATACTTATAGAACCCCGGAGAGACAAGCAAAGGAAGTAATACAGCAGGTAGATGAGAATACAAAGTCAACGACAAACGATGACAGATGGAATAATGATGCAATTTTACTGATTCTATTTATTAGGTCAAAGTTTGATTTTGTGAAAGGATTTCTGATTTAAAAAGCAGGTGAGGATCATATATTTTGAATGGTACTAATTTATCAATATCCGGCTTTATCTAGTATTTCCCGATAAATGGAATAAGGGATCATTCATATTACGTCAGCCAGATTTTATCCATTTTCAACTCCCATACACTCTGTCGAGTATAAGCCAGCACTGCAAGAGCCCCCTCCCTAATATATTAGTAATAGTATTACGTAAGCATATGTCAATTGTCATTTCACCCCTCACTTCTACTTAAACTTTAAGAGTTTCGGAATATGCACGGTTACACTTACTACAAAAGGTACTTGTTAGGAGTGAATTAAATTTTATGAAAGAAAATAATTTTAAAAATTGGTCAGATCACAGCGCTGAAAACACAACCGGCGATTTTATTTTAAAGTTCAATTCTGAATTCACTTTCAGAGCTGCAATTGCTTAATTTAATTATGAGTTTTGTCCTGCATTTTAGAATTCATGTTAATGTTATTCGGAGTTCATAAGTCTATTAATAGTATTTATGCATTTACAATTTAAGAATTGACTTAGAGTAAGAACCGTACAATTTAGCAAATCTCGTGAGCGTTAACGTTAATGGTAATCATCTCACTATATATAAAGCGAGACGATATATATGTGGGGTATGTGTTTATCCGTGCCATTTTACTGACACCACGGCATATATCAAAATCAGTCTTTAAATTTTATGATGCAAGATCATTCATAACATATGATTGAGCGTTGAACTTGAATTGAAAGTAAAACAGTAACCTATCACCCGATGAAACGTTGTCATTACAATTGTGGGGTTTGTTAAGACTTAAGAGCAATCATCTTTGTGTAACCATCATTTCACTACCTTAACCAGAAACTTAGTTTGTGTGGTACAATAAACCAAGTAATACAGTGTGTGAACTTAATAAATTATAATTAAATAAATTAAAAACTTACAACTTGTAGTAACACATACGATTTTAGTAATAATATTTGATTCATTTAACACGTCATCAAAATTGTATACTTATCTTCAAATGTTATACGCAAGATGCAAACAAAGTCTTGAAACACCCAGTAGTTCATCTGCCACCATTTTTTCATCATCACAATTCGTCTTCCTCAGCGTCATCCTCGATATTCATCCTTAATAGTTAATACTGCTTCATTAGCCCCGTCGTGAGTCTAAATTTGGTAACGAGTCTTAAAACACCCAGAAGGTCATCTGCCACAACTTTTTCCTTTTCATATTCATCTATTGTCATCACCATTGTCAACAATTTCTTCATCTGCCACATTTTTGTTTTCGTATGTAATGATCACCATCTTCGTCATTTTCTTTAAGGTCACCCATACACCTTATAATTTTCTTGCAGTTAGCTTTTTATTAGTTCATCTGCCACAATTTTTTCATCATCACAATTCGTCTTCCTCAGCGTCATCCGATCCTCGATATTGTTGTTGTAGCAGTTAGCTTTCTTAATAGTTCATCTGCCAAAATGTCTGTCTGTGCTATTAAAGTAGCGCTCTTAAAGTGCCCCAAGTTCATATGCAACAATCAGGATATCAATGAAGGATCCGGAAATCTTGGTAATAATTTATTTCTTGTTTCGTACGTATGTGTAAAGCCATCTTGCTGAGTGTGAAATTACATTAATAATTAATAATCAATGATTATGCTAATATTCAATCAGATATTGCTCTATCAAAAGAAATGTTGGTCGAGACTACCAAAAGCTGAAAACCATGAATAAAGATAAACTATACATTTACAGTTGGTATTGGTAAACACAGATTGTCATATTATAATTTAACTCAACCGATCAAAAATTGTCAACGTGGCTTGGGTTGCAACTTAACAAATATAAACGTCCTCTGTGTGAATTGACTTTGGACCTTTGGAATTCAAATAGCAGTTTTTCTACGGAAGAGTATGAATGTTTTATGGTCACAATGATCTAGGGAAGAGATTAGAGATATCTCTGAAACGTACAACTACAGTCTACAATATTTGGTGATACCCTGACTTGTAATTTATACCCCATGTCTATCACATTCCACTCCAACCTATAAGAGATCTAAATCAGATTATGGTACGGCACAAGCACGTGGTATTCGAGTGACGTAGTCACGAGACATGCCCCCGTGACACAGCACTCTGCTGCAATGGCCATTCACAAGCGTCTCAGAGTAAAACCGGTTTTTCTGAATATATATGTGAGATTAGATTCACATTCTTAATAGTTCTAGAGAACAGCACGGGTCAAGCATGAAGTATCATTTTAAACGTTTTAAATTAGAGTAGATCGGAAAGGAACTACTTTCATAAATTTGAACATGAAATTATCACCAACAATAATTTGAAAATATATTCAAGTTTTATTTATCAAAACTTTAACTACCTGGTAAAGCGGATTTAAATAAAGTGCTTTTTTCACTCGTAATAATTAAGGCGACTAATCATTTCTTAAGAACAAGCACCATCAACACACTGTTTGATGCAGGTGTAATGGAAACTGACATAATTAAGAGGACCAGACACAGGAGCGTAGTCACGAGACGTAATGGAGTCACGAGACGTAATGGATGAGACATCAAAATAAATGAAAATTCCTGGCACAAAAAGATTAAATAGGTCCGGGTCCTTGCACGCTAATCCTCTCAATCTCACCTCAAAACTCAATTAAAAGATCTGCCAAAAAATGCGTTACTCAATAAGTTGTTTGGAGTATTCAAACAAGTTATTGAGTAACTAAAAACCGGTCGGCACTCGTTGCTCCAGCAGTTCCATAACCTACCTTATGATACGCGTTTCCGAGAAATAACATTAAATATGGTGTGAATATGTTCAATTTTTATCCAGTTATTAGAATATATATTCGCATACCTTATCGGACCTTATTTGGACGGACATTAATTTCGAACGCTGGAGGCCTTAACGTTCATTTCAATGTCCGTTCAAATAAAGTCCGTTCATTTAAGGTCCGTCCAAGTTAAAGTCCGTTGAATTTTTTTCAAAAATTCGAACTTTTTGTCCAGAATATGACAACTATGAGAACTTTATTGTGCCGTAAGTTAACGACGGAAAAGTTCTTCTTGGTCTGCCGGAGGCACAAAAAACTTTACTAGTATATGATGTTTTCAATGGGCACTTTGCGGAAAAAGTCAACGAAATTATGGCACTCAACAACATAGTTCATGAGCTAGTCCCCGCCAACATTACAAACTTGTTCCAGCCTCTACATATATTACGGTAAATCGTGTTGCAAAGGACATTGTCTATTAGACGAGACTAAAGAGTTTCTCGAATATAAAATTGATTTATAGATTGCAACGGCCCTTAAGCGCTTGGTAAATCTACTTTAATTATATTTTAAGTTTATATAATTATCTGCACCCGGAAATTAAAAACTGCAAAACTTTGCAGCTTCGGGAAATTAAATTACCACAATGATATCAGAGTTCAGACTACGCAATATGTGAGTCAACGAAAATAAATCCCATAGAAAAAGCGCTTTTGATGAATCGCTAATGAGAGCGGGAACTGCAAAACCCTTGCAAATCTTATCGAAGATATTCCCTCTAAGAGTTACTCCCAAGCTCCCACACTGTAAAACACTAAATCATGTCGAGTCCTAAATAATGGTGATCAGTGCAGACCAAACAGCAAAGCCAAAAGAAAATAAAAGGGGGGACCCCCAACCCATGTAGGCGTAGCTGAGACACCTCACAGCAAGTAGACCAAAGTGGCTCTTGTTTGTAAAAGGTGTATCAACTCCCCGCTTGGTTCAGCTAGGCCTGATGGAGTTCTCTTCCAATTATTCAATTAGACAGATATATATAATATAGCCTTCTGAAGCAGCCCACAAGTGAGCCAGAAAGAAGGTTAACTTATTTTATTCCAGCTGTTGTGAGCCTAATGATCATTATGAAAGTCTGGAAATAGAGATCAAGTTTCTAGCTGACTCGTTGAAACTGAAAAGATGTTGAAACTGGGAAACAAAACACTACACGAACGCCCAAAAAGATGAAACAATTGATATGAGCAACGTTTAAAATTGAACAGCGTTTTAACGTTGTATTTAATTTTAGATTGTGAATGAAAAGTTCTTAAACGTTTTATAGGGAAACGTCATGGTTAATTTTAAAGGTTAATTTTTTAACGTTGAACTATTTCATGCACGAAAACCCATTTGATGAAGATGATATGCGATATTAAACACTGATCATGTACACATCTTTTAAAATTTTTACTGCTGAACGACTGCTTTTCTTACTTACTGTATAAAAATGGATCTAAAAATCATTTTCTGGAATAAAAAAACGTTTAAAAAAATGAAAAAAATTCGGATTTTTGATGGTTTTGAGTGCCTTCTAGCGTTCATATTAATGTCCGTTCATATTAATGTCCGTTCATTTAATTTCCGTCCAAATAAGGTCCGATAAGGTATATCCACACTATTTACATTACACGTACAACGTGATAATGATATTATTATCAGTGCAGTGTGTACAACACCAACTACACCGATCAATTGCCAATCTGCGAAACATTCATTTATTATTATCACTTCGAGATGGCAGGGCCTACTCTCATGCTGTCTATATGTGATGATTAACTCTGACTATAGTCGAAGTTTTACTATAGTGAATTGCAGATGAAGTAGGTTGCCTCATGATTCTACTATGGTTATCAAGTTAGTTACATTGATTAAAAAAATCAGCGTTTGTTTGTGGGTGATCCAAAAAAAAAGGTTTTTTGCTCCTACTGAGCACAGAGCAATCAACAAAATTATCCGTATCAACAAATTTTCGTGATTTTTATGATAAAGCTTAAAATTGTACAATAATTCACTTATTAACCTGAACTATTAAACGAAAACGTGTCATGTATGATGATGTATGATATCCAGTTCATGATTCATTACAACTAACCAACTTGAACTATGCTATTCTGATTTTAATGATGTATTAAAACTCATGTTCGCTTGATCCAACAAAACTTCAAACATCCCAGTTTCGTTGACTAAATCGTAGAAGATACTTTCAGGTCTTTTCAGAAGCAATGCAGGGTGGTCAAATTCAGCTAATTTACCCTCGTCGATCACCATTATACGGTCGCTATCAATAATGGTATTGATTCTGTGAGCTATGGTGAGGACAGTGCATTTAGAAAACTCTTGTCGGAGAGTCTGCTGGATCAGTTGGTCAGTTAGCTGAAATTATAAAATTTGTTATAAATAAGGTGAAGTGCCTAATTCAAGCGAATTGACATGATATTTAAAATATAAGATTTTAGTTTGCTACTAAGATATACCGACAATTTTCGAAAAATTCAACTCTGATCAACGAGCCAAATTAAATAATTCATGATTTAGTGTCATGAAGAGTCATCCCTAGCGTAACCGGTAACACATTCATTCAGAATCGATGCAAAATCCCTACCTCGTCAACATTAGCAGTAGCCTCGTCAATAACCAGAAACTTGTTGTCCTTCAGCAAAGCTCTAGCGAGACACAACAGCTGTCTCTGACCAGCTGACAGATTCCCACCACCCTCCTGCACCATCATCTCCAGACCTCCAATCTGGGCTGAAACGTACGATTTCAACTCTACCTTCTCTAGCGCGTCCCACAAGTTATCATCACTGAACTAAGAAAATGGATCAAGATTTACTCTCAAAGTTTCTGAAAACAAAAGACTCTCTTGAGGGATTATGCTGATTGATCTTCTGAGTTCATGAAGACCCATTTCTCTAGTCAACATTCCATCTAGCAGTATTTCACCTTCTGGTTCAACCATTATGAAGAGAGCTTGAAGTATGGTACTTTCACGGTCACCTGCACCAGTTCGACCAACAATACCTATCTTCTCGCATGGTTTGGTTAAGAAGGAAAGATCACGGAGAATGTAATCACCCTCAGGGTCGTACTTCAAGCTAACTTTTCTGAACTCTATTACACCACTGGTAGCCACTTTACTACTTACAATTACTGTTCTCCTCTTATCTATAACCTCTAAAGGAGCCTCTGAAGGTAAATCAGCGTACATATATATCCGCTCAACAGCAGTCATCATGTTTTCTGTCTCGGTATACTGTCGTATGCACCACTGGAATCCGTTGACCATGTTGGTTATATAAACCACAGCTAAACCTGCTACTGAAGCACCCACGACTTCTTTAAGTAGTACAGCTAGAAATGTAGCAATTACATTTACACAGTTTAAGACAGTAAGACAATCGAGACGCAAGGAAAACCTTGCGTGGTAGTGCTTTGATTCGAATATTTCTGTCTAAAACGAACGTTATCATAAAAATGCGCGGTAATTTCGATTAAGGAATGACATAACGGCCCCAACGTTAATGTGGTTCTTGCTATGTTTTGGTTCAGAATTAATTATTATATAATTATAATCTAGTTTATTTTTCTAGTTCAGTTTATAGTTTTCATCCGGCCACACAGTATACAAATATCAAAATATTTGCTGGTGTATAGTTTAACTTTTAAAGTAAAAACCTGATTGTTGGCACGAATAGTGGTCAGTCCAGAAAGGGTTGCCGAAATGTGTGACAAGATGGGACTACGTTCTGAAAAACAAATCAGTTAAAACTGCTTTCATTATATTTATATATCAAAAATAGATAAATCTTTTCATTTAATTGTTTTATATTTATTTCTTATAGTGTTTTTGCTCCTACTGTTTTTGCAATGAAAATACTTACGTGAAGCTTCAATTCGTCGTATTTCAACAGACGTTCGAAGATAGTATTAGTAACGGACAGTATATAGCAAAGTGGCGACTAACAAAATGAGGGGTATTATAAACCAGTAGTTGGCAATAACAGCTAGCCCTACTGATGCTGAAAATGTGACAGAGTTAAATAAACCAATTTCAAGTTGATCAAAGATAGTGAGAGATAATTGAGACGATCAAAAATTTAATGTGATTAAAAACGTATGGATGTTTAATTGAAGTTGGAGGAATTTTTACCTGAAAATATCAGAAATAATCCTAAAAAGTCCAATGAAAGGTAGGATAGTCGTTCGTCCATAAAATATGTGTCCTTTGTGGACCAATTGATTATCGTTTTTGTCTCATAATGATCAGGGTAGCATGAAACATGAACAAAAGTAGTTTCTAGAAAAACTTTGAAAAATTTTGACTCAGAAAATGTTCGGTCCGAGTCATTCTCGATACGTACCTCTGAAAAGAGAGCTTCCGCTTCCGAGCTCGTATTGCGAAGGGGAGGCCTGCATTCCGAGATCGCATTACAAAGGGGAACCCTCGAGTCCAAAATCGTGTATCGAACTTTGAAAACCGAAAAAAAATATTTTTGGCTCATAATGATCAGGGTAGCATGAAACATGAACAAAAGTAGTTTCAAAGAAAACTTAGAAAATTTTTGCTTAGAAAATGTTCGGTCCGAGTCATTCTCGATACGTACTTTTTTTCCCAAAAATTTTTAGAAATCTAAATTAAAAAGTTGGCCCTTTTTGGCCCCTTGCCCAGATTTCAAGGGGCGGGGGGGGGGCAATGGCCCCCCTGCCCCCCGCTTCCTACACCCCTGTGACTGACTAGTTGGTTGCAGGTCAGAAATTCGGCCGAAACTGTAAAATTTCAGCCCTGGAAATTTCAGCTCCAAAAACTGAAAATGGGACAAAGTATGGGACTTACTTTGGATCCTTTGGACAGTATGATTTTCCAATTTTTTTCGAGATTTTGACTTCCAGTACCCCAATTTGGTTTCATATCATCATCAATTAACTGACTAATTGGTTTGTGGGCAACAATTTCATCCAATCTGTCAAATGTGCGTTCAGAAATTTTCGTATCTGAAAATGGGACAGAGTTTTAAAAATTCAACTTTTCGTTTTGTTAAGATTTCTGCTGTGAGCTTTTTCCGACGAAAATCAAATTTCCAGCACCTCGATCGTGTCATTTGGCATCTATAGTTGACTGACTAATTGGTTGCAGGTCAAAAAATCGGCCGAAACTGTAAAATTTCGGCCCTGGAAATTTCAGCTCCAAAAACTGAAAATGGGACAGAGTATGGGACAGTATGATTTTCCAATTTTTTTCGAGATTTTGACTTCCAGTACCCCAATTTGGTTTCATACCATCATCAATTAACTGACTAATTGGTTTGTGGGCAAAAATCTCATCCAATCTGTCAAATGTGCGTTCAGAAATTTTCATATCTGAAAATGGGACAGAGTTTTAAAAATACAACTTTTCGTTTTGTTAAGATTTCTCCTGTGAGCTTTTTCCGACGAAAATCAAATTTCCAGCACCTCAATCGTGTCATTTGGCATCTATAGTTGACTGACTAATTGGTTGCAGGTCAGAAATTCGGCCGAAACTGTAAAATTTCGGCCCTGGAAATTTCAGCTCCAAAAACTGAAAATGGGACAGAGTATGGGACAGTATGATTTTCCAATTTTTTTCGAGATTTTGACTTCCAGTACCCCAATTTGGTTTCATACCATCATCAATTAACTGACTAATTGGTTTGTGGGCAACAATTTCATCCAATCTGTCAAATGTGCGTTCAGAAATTTTCATATCTGAAAATGGGACAGAGTTTTAAAAATTCAACTTTTCGTTTTGTTAAGATTTCTGCTGTGAGCTTCTTCCGACCCGAATCAAACTTCCAGCACCTCGATCGTGTCATTTGGCATCTATAGTTGACTGACTAATTGGTTGCAGGTCAAAAAATCGGCCGAAACTGTAAAATTTCGGCCCTGGAAATTTCAGCTCCAAAAACTGAAAATGGGACAGAGTATGGGACAGTATGATTTTCCAATTTTTTTCGAGATTTTGACTTCCAGTACCCCAATTTGGTTTCATACCATCATCAATTAACTGACTAATTGGTTTGTGGGCAAAAATATCATCCAATCTGTCAAATGTGCGTTCAGAAATTTTCATATCTGAAAATGGGACAGAGTTTTAAAAATTCAACTTTTCGTTTTGTTAAGATTTCTGCTGTGAGCTTCTTCCGACCCAAATCAAACTTCCAGCACCTCGATCGTGTCATTTGGCATCTATAGTTGACTGACTAATTGGTTGCAGGTCAAAAAATCGGCCGAAACTGTAAAATTTCGGCCCTGGAAATTTCAGCTCCAAAATCTGAAAATGGGACAGAGTATGGGACAGTATGATTTTCCAATTTTTTTCGAGATTTTGACTTCCAGTACCCCAATTTGGTTTCATACCATCATCAATTAACTGACTAATTGGTTTGTGGGCAAAAATATCATCCAATCTGTCAAATATGCGTTCAGAAATTTTCATATCTGATAATGGGACAGATTATTAAAAATACAACTTTTCGTTTTGTTAAGATTTCTGCTGTGAGCTTTTTCCGACGAAAATCAAATTTCCAGCACCTCGATCGTGTCATTTGGCATCTATAGTTGACTGACTAATTGGTTGCAGGTCAAAAAATCGGCCGAAACTGTAAAATTTCGGCCCTGGAAATTTCAGCTCCAAAAACTGAAAATGGGACAGAGTATGGGACAGTATGATTTTCCAATTTTTTTCGAGATTTTGACTTCCAGTACCCCAATTTGGTTTCATACCATCATCAATTAACTGACTAATTGGTTTGTGGGCAAAAATCTCATCCAATCTGTCAAATGTGCGTTCAGAAATTTTCATATCTGAAAATGGGACAGAGTTTTAAAAATACAACTTTTCGTTTTGTTAAGATTTCTCCTGTGAGCTTTTTCCGACGAAAATCAAATTTCCAGCACCTCAATCGTGTCATTTGGCATCTATAGTTGACTGACTAATTGGTTGCAGGTCAGAAATTCGGCCGAAACTGTAAAATTTCGGCCCTGGAAATTTCAGCTCCAAAAACTGAAAATGGGACAGAGTATGGGACAGTATGATTTTCCAATTTTTTTCGAGATTTTGACTTCCAGTACCCCAATTTGGTTTCATACCATCATCAATTAACTGACTAATTGGTTTGTGGGCAACAATTTCATCCAATCTGTCAAATGTGCGTTCAGAAATTTTCATATCTGAAAATGGGACAGAGTTTTAAAAATTCAACTTTTCGTTTTGTTAAGATTTCTGCTGTGAGCTTCTTCCGACCCGAATCAAACTTCCAGCACCTCGATCGTGTCATTTGGCATCTATAGTTGACTGACTAATTGGTTGCAGGTCAAAAAATCGGCCGAAACTGTAAAATTTCGGCCCTGGAAATTTCAGCTCCAAAAACTGAAAATGGGACAGAGTATGGGACAGTATGATTTTCCAATTTTTTTCGAGATTTTGACTTCCAGTACCCCAATTTGGTTTCATACCATCATCAATTAACTGACTAATTGGTTTGTGGGCAAAAATATCATCCAATCTGTCAAATGTGCGTTCAGAAATTTTCATATCTGAAAATGGGACAGAGTTTTAAAAATTCAACTTTTCGTTTTGTTAAGATTTCTGCTGTGAGCTTCTTCCGACCCAAATCAAACTTCCAGCACCTCGATCGTGTCATTTGGCATCTATAGTTGACTGACTAATTGGTTGCAGGTCAAAAAATCGGCCGAAACTGTAAAATTTCGGCCCTGGAAATTTCAGCTCCAAAATCTGAAAATGGGACAGAGTATGGGACAGTATGATTTTCCAATTTTTTTCGAGATTTTGACTTCCAGTACCCCAATTTGGTTTCATACCATCATCAATTAACTGACTAATTGGTTTGTGGGCAAAAATATCATCCAATCTGTCAAATATGCGTTCAGAAATTTTCATATCTGATAATGGGACAGATTATTAAAAATACAACTTTTCGTTTTGTTAAGATTTCTGCTGTGAGCTTCCTCCGACCCGAATCAAACTTCCAGGCCTGTATCCATGTATACTTATTTTTAAATGTTATACGCAAGATGTAAAAAATTTAAACAGTTTGCCTAGTTTCTTAAATTTTGAGCGGCACTTTAAATTTGGTAACGAGTCTTGAACACCCATTAGTTCATCTGCCACAACTTTTTCATCTTCACTTAATTCATCTTCCTCAGTGGCATCCTCGATATTCATCCTTAATAGTTAATACTGCTACATTAGCCCCGTCGTGAGTCGAAATTTAATCTTGGAACACCCAGTAGTTCATCTGCCACAAC